CTTCTGTTGCTGCCGTTTCTGTCTTTGATCCGAAGGATAGCCTTGCCTCCCCCATGCTGCCGCCTCACGGGGTCCCAGTTCATGGCAGACAGAAGTGTTTTTTGTTTTCAACGGCACTAAGGCTGACGTCTTTTCATTGGTCAGCCGGTAAGCGCGGTCGATGATAATAACAAAAAAACACACGATGGCGTCTTTTCACTGGGCAGCCGGTTAGCGCGGTCGATGGAAATAATCAAAACACACGAACGCGTAGTCGCGAAAGCGGAAGCCTCGGTACGCGTACTACGGTACTACTACGTGCATTTCTCTCCATCTGCCACCGTCGTCTCTGTCTGTAATCCGGAGAATAGTCTAGGCTCTCCCATGACTGACGCCCCCTCACTGCTGTGTGTCCCAGACCATGGCCTATGGAAGGAGAAGCGTTGTTTTCTCTAGTCAGCCGCACGGAATGACATCTACCTGTTGTCTGTCTGTCTGTCTGTTCATTTGTCAGCGGGTTGAGCCGGGTCGATGCTACCGATGCTACTGTAGTAATGACTACTACAGTAGTAGTACAGTAGTACTTATACACATGTACTTTTACCTGGAGAGCAGACAGAACTACTGTATCACCCCTCGCTCGCGCGGAATTTTCCTCCAAACACGAGAGACACGCGATGCGTGCCTACTACGGGCAAGCACGCCGTGCTGTGCCATAGGCAGCAGGTCTGTTGTTGTCGATCCGGAAGCAAGCGAGGTTCGGCAGGCGGCGGGATTGATTAAATAAATGTGCCCATCTATCTGTGTGTGCCTACATGCCTGTTTTTTTCGGGATTTTTGTCATGTTGGCGCAGACCAAAAAGGTGGTTATTGACGCAGACTATATAGAAACCAACACGAATCGGCCGAGTGGAGGCATGGTGCTATGTTTGGCTGGCACATCTGATGTGTTTCAGCTTTACAGCAGTGCCTGCTGTCATGCACCATCTGTTTTTTTTTTCCCCGCGAGAGTTTGGCGACGACAAAGTCGCTCTAACAGTATCTGTCTCTCATACTAGTCGGTTTTTTTTTTTGGCGAGAGTTTGACTGGCAACCAATGGTTGTTGTTTCATGTCTAACGGGCATCCCCCCCCCAAAAGACCTGTCTCTCCCCCAACACCGTGGGGGCCCCAACCCCAAATCCCAAACCCCAAACGGCATCGGGGACACGATGCTACAGCAGCAGCATTATTACAGTAGCACATATCGCCACGAGGAGCAAAGCAGCAGTAGGTGGTGGTGTTTTGCCGTCTCAGGGCCGTTTTAAACAGAGCACTTTTTTTGAAAAGTTGGAATGATTTCAAATTGGGAAACTTTGCGCGGGAGTTTGAAGGCAATAAATTTGAAAACTTTCCAAAAGTTTGGAACCTAAACTACCATTGCAAAGTTCTGGGGCCCTGGTCACTTCCAAATGTTTGGAAGAAGTTTTTATGTTTTCGATGACTTCCAATTTGTTTTTTGTGTTTGTAAATTTGGAAAGAACAGCCATGATTCAAATGGCCCTCATCTTGTACTACGGTGGTACTACAGCAGGCACTTGTTACTCTGAATCCGAGGCTGGTTGGACCGCTACTTTTTCCTCCGCGGCTTCGTTGTCGGGAGCCTCCTGTCTGTATATATACCAACCGTCTTCGTGGTCTTTTGGCTGGCTTTGGTGGACGTTTTGCGTTGTTCAGCCAGCCGTTGGATTGGGTCCCTTTGGGCACTAGCATACCAGATGGCATTGATTATGAGCAGGCAGGTGGTTCACCGGAAACACAGAGGTGCACGTAGCTCTCCGACGCACCGGATATCCTGCCGCGGCATGCACTAAACCCCTGGGTCGCTCATGATTTTGGTCGTCCAGCGAACAAAGAAGATGTGTTTGCCCGTTTTGCCAACGGCTTTTTATTTTGGGTAGTGATACCGATTCGACCAGCAATATTATTTGTTTACTAGTTTCGTCACCCTAGTCGGACACGCATGTATGTATGTATGTGAGGCTGCATGTGGGGAGATACTACCATAACTCCCAAGGCGTCGAGGTTCTGTGCTGCAACGATCGCGTCCGTCCATTTGTGTAGGGGGCTGTGTGATAACGCAGTTCACGTCGCGAGAAATGTTTGCAAGCTTCGTGATTTATTTTCCCTTATACACGCAAGAGTTGGACGCATCGGATTGTTTCGTCACCGTGGCTGCAATTTAAACACAGATCGCCGGACTGCTGTTGTCAGTGTCCCGGGTGGCTAGCCCGAACGCAACGATGGGCGTTGGGTCCCGAATGTCATGATGATCTCGAGGTTTGACTGTGGTTTGAGATGCGCGGTTTTCTGTTGCGAGTGGGCAGCTTGTACCCTCCCAGGTATAACTGTCTTGTTCGCCCCCAACAATCGGTGTTCACGGACGCCTCTTGGGCAGTCTATTGTCGGGTACTGGGTACAAAAAATTGTTCGCTGTGTTCGATGTATTCTTTCGACGGGGGAGCATTCGTTTTATGCGTTCGCGCACATCTGTGGTGGGCCTTGACAACGTCCGTGTGGTTGAAGCCCTTGGCGTGGTGGTGGGCTTGTGGCTGTTGTTCGACACAATCGTGGCACCGGCCGCTGGAGGTCGGTGACTGTGTGCGATGGTGGCGTGGGTGTCGCGGTGTCTACGCGCCTCGGTCGGGAGCGCTTGTGCGTTCGTTGGGGACTACCGACGTGCTCCATGGTTGGTGTGCTGAGAGCGACTGAATTGGCTTGTTAACGGTCTCTGTCGTGGGGACCGTTGTCATGTTCGCGCTCACCTTGTGCCGCTGGCCCTGAAATTGCGTTGCAGAACGTGGAACGTGGACCTGAGGGCGTTGTGCCCCGAGATGCTGGGTTCGAGTTCGTTTGCCAAGCACCTGCGCCGTCGTCGGAATGAGTTCCACTGGGCCGCGTGGATGACGCGTGGCGACCTGTGTTCATAGCAGACCCTTCCCAAGTCGACTGCCGTAGTTTTGCAGTTGCTGGAATACGTTGAGCCTGCCGCTTCCGTGCTGGGGTTCCGGTGTACGGCTGTCGCTGGCCATTCGTCCGTTATCACGGTTTATTTTTGTTTACCTGTTGTCATGTCCGATGGCATTGGTCGCATAACCGTAGCTGCTTCGCACAGCGGTGTGGACATCCTGTATCTGGGGGTATGATGTGTCCATTATGGAGATCGAGTGCTCCGTTCGTTTCTTCACGAGGGTGTGCACATGGGGGAGTTCGGTCGATGTGATGATTGGACTCCTGGCGTTCGGTGTCGATGGTGGACGGTGGTTCGTGTGGGGCGGCCCGATGCGGCAGCGGCCCTGCGGCAAATGGTGTGATGGCGGGGTTGCCGTCATCGAAGTACGCGGGTTTGCAGCCGGTTGCCCTTCGCCCAAGCGGTTGGGTTGGCGGGTTTGCAGCCCGCTGAGTGCGCGCTGCACTCCCTTCGGATTGGGCGCGCAACCTACTTGGCGGCGGGGGGTGCCCTCCGTAGGGAGGGCGATGGCCGGGGGAGAGTAGATACCAGTGTTGTGTTCGGAAGGTGGGGAGTGACGCGTCGCGGGTGCCGGAACTGTTGGCGAACGGTGAGGGCGTGACTATTGTACGAAGCCGGGGCAGGGTACCAGATGGGGTGAAGTGTAATGTATCCGGTGGTCCGCGTTGGATACCGGCGAGGCAGCAAGTAGTCGACGCGTCAAGTTTTGGATTCTGGGGCGTGAGTTTGGGTCGAGAGCAAGGAGTAGCGTGAACTCTGCCGTGGGCTATATGTATATAATGTACATAGTAGGCTGGCCGGGGGGGCATCAGTATGGCACACCAGCCTTTGTGTTCGGGGCAGACAGTTTTTTACCTCTCTGTCTGTTAGGCTGGTGTTTATAGTGATCGTGAAGGTGTAGACTGGGGTGTGTGGTTCGTGTTGCCCCGGTCTCCGCTCTCCTCCCCTCCCCCCTTGGCGAGCAAAGGGGGGTACGCAAAAAATTAATAGCAACTTCGAGAGCGTCGAGAGAGTACCCGCTTTGTGTGATCATGGGTCCGGGGTTCGCAAGAGAGGATCCTAGCTCGCGCATTGGGTACTCCAAAGAAAATTGGTTCCCCACCGCGGGCCCCCTTTGCTTATATAGGAAGTAGAGGTATTACGCCCCCCTAAAACAAAAAACTCCCAAATGTGAAAAGAGGGAATCGTCCTCGACAGACGTTGGGGAGATCGTACCTTTATGAAAGGTGGTCTCCACACAAAGAAGAAAATGCGTACGTCGGGGTCGGATAATTTTTTTGTTCGGGTGCCCTTGTTTTGGTTAATATTGATTTTTTCCATTTTTCTCTCCCTCTATTTATTCCCTTCTTGTAGACGCTTGGAATTCAACATTCGGATCCCTAGCGTTGGTCGCCATGCGCATCCGTGCGTGTCCACACCGCAAAAACAAAAAAACACGAGTTGAGAGGCCTCGATTCTGTCCTTTAACTTGAGATTTATCCGAGCACGATAGACCCCTTCCGATTCGTGTCCGATGTACTGTAGGTGCACGCCGGAACCAGAACGACCCGTTGAATTACTGAATGGAAGAAAAAAAGTGTGCCCACATGACAGAGATGATGGCTGCCACTACTGCAGTAGTGCCCACCGTCACCCACCATCAAGCATCACGCTGGCCAAAAGGGTATGTATGACTGGAGCAGCAGAAACTCTCAATCAAACACCGCTCGACGTTGTAGTACCTTTGAAAAGGCCACCGAACACACCCAGTCTTTACCAACGAACTCTCTCCTTGAAAACACGACACAGGAATAAGTCAAGGATGGTCCCAGAAAAGGCTTGGCCGGTGTGCTCATGGGACACCAATACGCTGTCGGAGCTGTACAAGGATACCTCCAGCCGGCAACTTATCCTTGCGGGGTTCGCGGGGCCGGACGCATGAAATCGCTTGCGACCACCACACTCAACATCAACACCGCTCTTGGACCGGACTAGGTACACACACGCAACTTACAACATGCACGTGATGTTTTCGTGGGTTTCACATTCGTTCCTCGCTTCATTCGATCGCAGTCGGTGCTGACTACTGTAGAGAATGCCACCCTCCTACACACGCTGCTGATCGTGTACGCCTTTTGACAAAGGCTTTCAACTTGGTGTCCAAAAGAACACCGCTGGTCAGAGTCAGGAACTTAACAGTCGTCACCTACGTCAGACAGGATGATACTGTCTCAACCAAAATCCTTAGCTCGACAGAGGCTGCAATGTCGGAAAACTGCGGGTGCATGCGTACTGCGCCCTTTCGGTGTACCCCACAACATTCCAAGTTGGTGTTCGCCGTTGGACAGACAGAAGGCCGGCCGAGATCTCTCTAATAGCAAAATCGTGCGTCACAAATACACAACTAAACCCCGATGTAGATCAGAAACAAATCTATCATGACCGCCAGTTTGTGGACTTCTCCTCCTCGCCGCCCTCCTCCCACCAGGTCTTGTTCTTGAAGCCCTTTCGGAAGAAAGACGTCACCGCGTTGTCTTCTTCCTCGTCGAGCTGACGACGGGAGGTGTCAGGTGACGGGCGGCGACAGCAAGGGAGAATAACAACCGCGAAACGTTCGCGCGGGAAGGAGACAACAAACAAACGCGGACATCGGCGGGAAAAAAAAAAATCAAGTCATTCGCTTTCACAAGGAAGAGAGAGGCAACGTCATTATCGTGGCATGTATGCATACACGACAAAAAAGTGAAAGCGAAAAAGGATGTCAAGTTCCGTCGGTGATCATCAGTGCCTCCCACTGTCCGCATGACCCGAAAGATAATCTGGTCAAACGCAACGTCCGACGATTCGCAAAAAAACTGTCGATATACCTTGAGGGCCTTGGTGATCTCGTCCTTGAAGTCCCCGAGGGATTGTCTCTTCGGCGAGTTGCTAACCTGGTACCACGTCAAGCAGGGAGCGGATGAAAGGGGTGAATCGGTGCACAACAGCGGTCGGCAGGGGAGAGGGGCGGCAGGGGGCTCACACACACTTTGTGTCACGGGAAGGATCAACACAAGACTGTCTCCCACTGGAGGCACCCAAGAACAGGCTTCCAAAAAAGGATACCGGTACACGAAGGTGAAACCGTCGGAAGGTTGCCCCCGAATGCATGCATACTTCTCGCTTGTGATTCCATCGCTCACCAACACGAGACTGCGGATCGATACATCACATACACAAACACAGTTTCCCTCCCCCCCGAATTGGGGCGATTTGTCCCCCCCCTCCCAAGAAAATGCAGCGCACCCTTCATGCGACTCGCGGAATACCTCAAGGCCCTTCGCGCCTGGGGTTGTGATAGCCTGGTCCGGTGACAACCCGGCGTGCTCCGTCCCGGCTTTGTAGGGACGCGAGGTCAACGGTCTAACGACTACGGCATGCACGACAATGAGTATACCCCCCCCCCCCCACCCCCACTCGGTGTTTGCCATCGGGATTGGGTTTTCGTCGCTTGGCAACGACGTTGTAAAACAAGCCAATTCACTTCGTGAACTCGGCAACCAGGTTACCGTCTTTTTTTTTTTACTCTCTGGTTTTTTTTTTGGCGGTAACCATAATGGTGGTCGAGTAGATCATGTTGTGCGGGGTCGAGAAACCTCACTCCGCGCAACGGGGGATGATCGCACCACGTTGTGTTAAAATGGTCAAGCTTCCTCGAGGCAGTTACACAGTGCTTACAACTGTCTCTGGAAGTGAAAGCACCAGAAAATAAATTAAGTCATACGTAGCTGTCATCCGTACGCAAGGAAGTAAGCACAAGATGCCGAACACCCTTAGCAGGATGCAGCTCACCCTTCATGCGACTCGCCAAATACCTCACGGCGCTTCGCGCTTGGTGATGTGAGAGCCTGGTCCGGTGAGAACCCGGCGTGCTCCGTCCCGGCTTTGTAGGGATGCGAGGTCAATGGTCAAACGACTACGGCATGCACGACTATGAGTACACCCCCCCCCCCCCCCCCCCCCCC